GGCGCTGCAGAACTTGAGCCAGGAGACTTGCTCGGTACTGCTGCCGCCCCGCTGATGCGCGTCCCGGTAGAGCATTTAGAACAACAGTTTAGTGACGAAGCTGACACTTCATGTTCGGTGCCTGGACCTATTTTGGGTTCTACCGAGGATAACGCGGACAGGACCGCCGATCCGCAGGTGCGTTGCCACGATCCCTTCGTGCACAACCTACGATCCACCGATCTTCCTGTGCCGGACCCAGGGAAATCACCCCCTGCGGCCCCTGCCCCCGCTCACACTTCGCCCTCGCCGCCACCACAGCATGTGATGGAGCGGTTGAGCGCTGATCAGAGAGTTAGCTTTGAGTCATTGTGGAATCGCTTGCCGCCTCACCTGAAGTTGGTTAAGTTTGATTTACACGGTCCTGGTTGGTCACCAGAGGTCATCACAGAACTTGGTGATCTTTTACATGATTTCCAAGACGTGTTTTCCACATCCTCGACGGATTTAGGGTCCTGTTCCCTGATGCCGTTTGAGATCAAAGTACCTCCGGATTGTCCCCCTGTGACGTCCAAACCGTACCGTATGAATCCTTTGGTTGCAAAGCAAGTCGATGCCATTTTGGACCAGTATCTAGCTGCTGGCCTAATTCAGCACTCGACCTCTCCTTATTCCAGCCCCATCGTGGTTATACCAAAGAAGTCTGGTGGAATACGCATCACGGTTAACTACCGAAAGTTGAACCATATCAGCAGCTTTGGTCAACTTCCCATCCCCCGAGTCGACGAGATTCTAACGAAACTCAACAGAGGTTCGATTTTCTCGTTATTCGATTTCACGGGTTCTTTCCACCAGATCACTGTCCACAAGGACACTATCCCCCTTACGGCTTTTGCGACCCCCACTCGTTTGTTCGAATGGCTCCGCATGCCGATGGGTTCTAGCCAATCCGCAGGCCACTTTGTAAAAGTGATTAACGAAGTAATCAAAGGACTCGATGGAGTCGAGGCATACCTCGATGACGTCGTTGTTTTTGACGAAGGCCCACTGCAGCATGTCCGTAATATGCGCACGCTCTTCGAACGGTTGAGAAAGTACGACCTCAAACTTTCTCCCTCGAAAGCCACCATCGGTACCACCAAGGCTGACTTCTTGGGGCACACCATATCTTCGAAAGGTGTCCTCCCCAACGCCCGTAAAGTAGCCGCCCTGGCAGGTATGCCCATGCCTACGACCGTCAAGCAACTCAGGTCACTCATGGGTGGTCTGAGCTACTACCGACGTTTCCTCAGAGACATGGCCAAGCGTGTGAAGTCCATTACGCACTTGCTCAAAAAAGGTGTTCCCTTCGCTTTCACGAGCGACATGGAAACAACTGTTCGCAGCCTACTGGCTGAGCTCGCGAAACCGCCCATTTTAGTGTTTCCTGATTGGGACGCTATTGCGGACGGTACACGCCCTTTACGTCTTTGCTGTGACGCCAGCTCCGACGGTCTCGGCGCCGCGCTGGAGCAAGAGCAGAAAGACGGCTCGGTACGGCCGATCGTTTTCATCAGCAGAGCCACGCTCGACGCTGAACGCAACTGGACCGCTCTCGATCTCGAAGCAGGAGCCGTTGTATGGGCGATCAAGCGTCTCCGCGAATACCTTCGTAGCACACACTTCCGCATCTATTCCGACAATAAGGCGCTGGAAAGTTTGTCAAAAATCAGCGAGCACAACCCACGCGTCCAACGCTGGATTGAGTTCCTTGAAGCATACAGCTACACGTTGGAGTACCGACGAGGTGCCTCCAACGGAAACGCTGACATGCTGTCTCGTCTGCCGATTGAGCCTACTGCCGCCGACATCAACGGTAACAGTCGTTTGACGTCCCCAGAAGACGTTGGTGTGTATCTGATCCGAGCGACAGGTCACGCATCACCCGGGCAAATCACGCCTGGCGCTGGTTTGGGTGGGCTGGCGCCCCCGAGCGAGAACACCGCTTTGGTGGGCTACCCCTTACTTCCGATGATTTTGCGGATTTTCGCAAACACGGGCCTCGAATGAGGATTGACGACCTTGATGCTCCTGCAGGAGAATTCGTCGCTCGTGTTTTTCCGTACGTCAATGCGCGAGGACCTTTGCGACACCTTGCGGACGATCGTGCATTGTCTTGCACCGACCACTCCGTATTTGCTGTGCCTGAGGTTACTTCCGCTGCAACCCAGAAAATACAGGGCGCTGTGCCGGCACTCCGGTCTTCAGCTTCTCCTGTTGTGTCTCCGATGAGACCATTGTATAGGGACACCGCCACGGTTTACGGACCGTCTGCGCGACCCCACACGGATACAGCTGCATTTGCGCTCCCTGTCCACGACACACAGACCGCCGACGATAACTCTCGGTTGCCCCCTGTCGTGTCTCATGCGACCGCAACTGTCGACGCCGGCTCCCACTCTGATCGTTTGGATGCCGCCGACTCATTGCCGCCGCCTTCGACCTCTCGGTTGCAACCGCATCGTATTGATCCGTCGGAACTGATCTCTACTCGTACGCGTCGCCGAACCGCGGCTGCTGCGGGTCAGCCTCAACCCGATGTAAACTACGGTTTCGGTCCTGATTTGTCGATCCCCCACACGTTCCGCGTGCAGGCGCTTCTCGTCGTCAAACACGAGTGACACCAGCTGCCACCACGCCTGAGCCTGCTGTCGAACCTGTCCCAACGGTGCCTATAGCGCCGCCGGAGACGGTTACCGACGCCCCTACGGGTCCTCTGTTGGGTTTGTCACAACCGGCTGCTGCAGCTGGTAAGGCAACGCCCGCAGTGGATTCCATGGTCCTCAATCCTGCAGAGTTAGAATTCCGTGAGTCCGTCGAACGCTACACGCGTGCAGATTGGGCGCGGGAACAGCAGAAAGAGCCGGTGTGTGAAGCCACCATCCGCTACATTCTCCTCAAACGCCCTCAGAGTCTACCTGTCGATTTCTTTGCCAGAGTGTCATATCACTCCAGGCATAGACCCTCGTTGGAGGATATTCGAGAGCTTGCAGATAAAGGACGCCTCGTCACTGACGATGGCCTTTGCCTCTTGGTACGAAAGAATACCAAGCCCCCGGTCTCTTCTGACCGTCCCGGAGGACGAGCTGCACGTCTGTTGAATGACGAACCCACTCGTATTTACGTGCCCATGTTAATGCGACCTTGGGTCATGCAAGCTTGTCATGCCAACGCCCTCTGCCACCTTGGTACCGCTCGCACGCTCAGCTTGCTTGAGAGGTTTTACTGGTGGATTGGGATGAGTATCAGTACTCGTTGGTGGATTCGGCGATGTTTGAAATGTCAGGCCCGCAAAACTGCGCGCCAGACTATTCGCTGGCCGATTCTCACGATCCCTCTGCCTTCGGCACCAGGGGTCGCGATTAGCGTCGACTATTTTGGTCCGCTTCCCACAACTCCGCGAGGTTTCTCGTATATTTTGCTATTCACTGACCGTTTCAGTCGGAGAGCCAATATGTACGCAGTGACTGACGCCGAGTTCACAGCTGAAGGTACAGCTGACGTCCTTGTCAATAAATACATGCCTGTTTGGGGATGCCCCCTCAGCATTCTTTCTGACAATGGATTGCAGTTTTGCTCCAAACTGTCGGTTGCCATCCTAAAATTGCTACGCGTCCGAAAAATTACGACGAGCGCGTACCACCCTAGCGGCAACGGAGGAGTTGAGCGCGTGAACCACACCATGGCCCAGATGCTGGCGATGGTTGTGAACGAACGACAAGATGATTGGGACATTCATCTCCCTCATGTTGAATTCGCGTACAACAACTCCGTTAGCGCTGCAACAGGATTGGCGCCCAATGAGGTGCATATGGCGCGCCTTCCCAGGTTTCCACTGACCGTTTTTGACAACATTTACGCTACGTGGTCACCAGTCGCTTGCCCGCGATCAGCTCGAGTATTGCAACCTTGCCGCCGATCGGCAACGGCGCTCCTACGAGCTAGTGCGTGAACAACACGCACTCACAGTTTCCCGTATGGAAAAACGGAACTCGAAACTGTCTGATGCCTTACATAAACTACCCGTTTACGCTACCGGTGGTTGGGTGTGGGTCTACAACTATTTGGCTACCATCCGCCAAGGTGCCAAACTCACTTCCAAGGCCCGCGCAGACGCTGACTCCCAGGTACTCAAGAAGAAGCTGTCCTTGAATTGGACAGGTCCTTTTAAAATCCTAGCAGTCGGTCCTTGCAACAAGGCTCCCGATGGCAGCCCGGTGGCTGACAAGCTCCTGTATTTGGATCTTCCCTCCGATATGCCCGGAGTGGATGCCAAGCGCCGAGTTTCTGTCGCTCGTTGCAAACCGTGTGCGAACCCACACGATAGTGACGACATGCCTCGGTTCTTGCCTGCAGGCCTCACGCAGTATGTTCTCAACAACTACACGACGAAGTCTCCGCCGTACCATGTTACCGCGGACGATGTTTCGGCGCCTGTCCGCAGGCTCGAGGTTGAGAAAATCACGGGACACCAGTCGGTTCGAGGACGTGGCGGCGTTATCGCAGTCATGTACGAGACCCACTGGAAAGGTCTTCTGCGGCCCTCGTGGGAACGAGAAATGGACCTCCAACACTCCCGAAAACAGATTCTTCTGTATTGGGCTGGTACACCCGACCAACACCGGCAGACTAACCGTCTGTATCGTCGCATGCGCATTGGCGCAGCGGAACGTGAACTGTCTCGCATCAAAGGCGAGCGGTCCTCGTCGCCCGGGTACGAATATGTTCCCCGCGATGTTTGGGCCCGCCGTTTTCGCAACACCGTGCTGCCTGTAGGCGCACACTTCTGGTACAAGGCTCAAGACGCTCTATGGTGGCTAGGGAAAATCTCCGGACATACTCCGACTACAAACGTCTTCGTCGTTCGCTTCCTGGATGACCCTGGACCTGTCAAGATCACCCTCTCCCCTTCGCGCTACACGACAGCTTTGGGAGCTGTTTGTGGTTCTTGGTGCCTTCAGCTGCACCGAAGTAGTCCCTTCATGCGAGGTATCTTACGCAATGTAGACGAGTCGCGTGGTACGGCTATAGATGCCTGATAGCACTGTGGCATTGTTTTCCTTGTTTTATGTGTATGTATATGTATGTGTATATGTTTGTGTGTTACATGTTTGTGTTTATGTATGTTTGTCTGTATGTTTCCAGCTCGCCCTCTCGATCTATTTTCGAGACTGGCTATTGCTTCTGTATGTTTCTAGCTCGCCCTCTCGATCTATTTTCGAGACTGGCTATTGCTTCTGTATGTTTCTAGCTCGCCCTCTCGATCTATTTTCGAGACTGGCTATTGCTTCTGTATGTTTCTAGCTCGCCCTCTCGATCTATTTTCGAGACTGGCTATTGCTTCTGTATGTTTCTAGCTCGCCCTCTCGATCTATTTTCGAGACTGGCTATTGCTTCTGTATGTTTCTAGCTCGCCCTCTCGATCGATTTTTGAGACTGGCTATTGCTTCTGCATGTTTCTAGCTCGCCCTCTCGAATATTTCGAGACTGGCTATTGCTTCTGCATGTTTCTAGCTCGCCCTCTCGAATATTTCGAGACTGGCTATTGCTCCTTTATGCTTTCCGCTCGCCCTCTCAATCTCTTTGAGACTGGCTCTTGCTTTTGTGTTGCGTACTTTCGCGCCCCGTTTGTCACTTCTCGGTCGGTTGTCGAAAGTTTTCGCTCCCCTTTACCTATTTTTCAATGCGACCTAGGTTCGTCATTAGTTGCGGTGACACCCAAATTTGGTGCATCATTTAACTCCCCACCCTATGGTTTGCTTTGCATATTTTGTGGTCCAACGTTCCGTCAGTGCTTCTATTGCATGCCACGGCCAACGTGTTCCATCTTGGTACTTTCTTTAGCATTTTTCTTCATACAATTGGCCTTGACGTACACGTAGGATTGTTTTCCTCGCCCCACCCCGATCGCAAGCACGTTGTATCGTGACATGCGAACGTTGTTTTTGGCGTTGGTTCCTGTCCTTTTCTTTGGCCGTTGTTTACGTTCCCCGGAAACCCCCTCTTTTCCTGCTTTTCTCGATTTTGGTCGACCCCTAACGGTTTTCCATGTCGTTTGATCCTTTGCAGGCTCGGTTTTCGTTTCTTATTCTTTATGTTTACATTTCAGCACTCGATCGCATCGTAGCCCCCCTTCCCGTAAGGTTCTGGCTTACTTGATTGCGTATTCGATCGGTTCATCCGTACGAGATCGTTTGTGATTTTCTCTTCACGATTTCGTTACTTCGTGTTATGGTCTTTTCGGTTCGGATGTTTTGGTTATTTTTCGCGCCCATGTGCCTTTTACCGATTTTATCCACCGACTTTGCCGCCCCGGCTTCTGTGTTTTCTTCTTTCTTGGTTCCGCTTCTTTGGTTTGGTTAACGGAGAGGTGCGGGTGAGGGTTTTGAGTTGTCGTATCTTCGATCCATCCCGCAATCCTCTTGATTGACTAGAGTCCCTCCGAGGTTTGCTTCTGTATCTGCATCTACGTCCACTCAGGGTGGGCTATTGTTATGGTATTTGGAGGTAGACATGTGATCGTGGTTGATCATGGTTATTTGGCGCCGTCGGATGCTAAGACGTGACGTCATGCTAGATCAGGGCTTTATGCCGAGACATGTGCCCTTCTGTTCAGTGTGTGCGTACAGGCGATCTATGATCGTGTGTGCGTGGGATATTGTGAGTTGGCTTGGAAAGCGTTAATCAAGAGAAAGAGAACAACGGAAAGCAACAACAACCTGCTACTGTGGTCGGACAAGAGAGTTCCACACAGCTCAAAGGTGATTGATTCTGAAGGAAGGGGTCAAAAACCATTACAGTACAGTGAAGGTCGACTCTTGCCGGCCACAGGAGGCGTAAACTGCTGCTCAAGATCGGGGACGGGTCATGATTTATTTTCGGTTCTCCACCGAACGGATCTCGAACGATGAGACTTCAGAAAAGCTTCACGATTGCGAAAGGTGGGCCCAGTTTTAAAGACATGGCAAGCGAACACCCCCTCGTAACAAACATTAGAACTGAAATAATAGGTGGGTGGGTGACCGGCGGACCCCGAAAAGCAAAGCATTAAAAATATCGCTCAAAAATTGAAAGAAGGGAGAACAGAGACAAGCGAACAGGACGCGACAGGTTTCCGGGAGGTCGGGAAAGAGAGCATAGAGAAGCCACCGTCGCCGCTCTGAACCGCTGGAAGCTGTCACACAGCACGGAATGCAGCAAACAGTGGGGGCGATGCCCATTTTTTGACGTAAAGAGGCAGGGCCCATCGCCTCACATGCAGCAGCCGGGTACACGGGTAGCCTCACTCAGCAAGAAACAAAACGATTGCGGTTGACGTTCGATGTTGTTGGGATCCGATCGGCGACAGCCGAGAGGGAAACAGGTACTGTAGACCAAAAGAATCGCACGTCGACAAGGAATTAACTCTCGAGAGTACACTCACTCTCGTCCCTGTGGCCCACCGAAGGCTGTCAAAGACGTGTTACGAACGGCGACATCCGATGTGCGCTCAGCAACAACACCAACAAAAAATATAACTAACAAAACTAAATCGCCGTTTCCGAACTGTGGAGACTTTTTTTCCTTTGTGGTTTGAAGCGTGGCGAAACAAAAAAGAACGTGACTACTGCTGTATATAGAAGCACCACGGCGAACTATAATATTATCTCAATACGCTTGCCGTCGCGATAGATGCGCACCGCTGCACGAACGAGCAGATAGTTGGTAATCATACCTCACTACGTAAATAAGATTGTGCTGCCATCTGCCTCATCGCTCAAATTACGACTACGCAGCAGACTCAAGGTAGGTGCGACACGCTTACGATGCTTTACCACCCATGCCATGCATAGACTATGCAGCAAGAGAGTAAAATATATCTAAGGCGGACCGTCTGTTGTTGGCTGTACCTTCAACCGTGCTGCCGTTGGTTTCTTCATCAATATCGACACAGTAGAGAAATAATTGAGTAATTCGCATCTCCTATGCGAGCACAGAGTGCAGCCCAAGCGACAGAGACGATACCCTTACGACTTTTGCAGCATATATATTTCGGGAATACCAGCGGCAACCGCAGGTGTAAAACCGTCACCCAGGAAGAAAACCACAAAAGGAACTGAAAAAATATGGTGGCGCGCAGCAAGCAGGACCCTCTTTCGCTGTTCAACCGGCCGTTCCAACGGCGAAACAGACAAGGAACAGTCAAGGCCGAGTCGTGCCGGCCACAGGAGGTGCAAGCTGCTCAAACTCGGGGAGGGGTCATGGTTTGTGATTTCCTACCGAACCATACTTGAGGCGCCACGAGATACTATTTAAACTGTAGCCCGAGATCAGCATTTATTTGAGACCGGGTCGGGCCAGGGGTTGGGGATGCGAATGAAAGTTCCACCCACGGATATCGAACGATGAGACTAAAGCTAAAGCTTCAGAATTTTAAACCCTGAACGGCGAAAAGAAAACCGACCTTTGTTTTATTATGCTTGTTCTATTCGTGATGTCATCGAAAAAATTACGTTAACTTTGCTGAATACACGATTTTGCTCAGCACACAACAGGTTGCCTTGGTTTTGCTCACCATAGAGCAGCGGTAAAATCGCAATTACCCTAATCGGACACAAAAGATCCCGTCGAACCGCCCTGCTGTTTATAGCTCTCAGCAACAACAGGCGCAGGGTAGAGTGTCGCAACCTGGGTCTTGTTTGCGATTTGTTCAGTTTGCCGGCTCATTTTTCACGGTTGCGACTCCCGGCTTTGACCACCACCTGTCCAAAGGTAGACGAGCTCAACAATCGTAGCGCCGCAGCGGCGCTGACGACCAGCATTACATACATGACCAATCCGAAAGAATTAGCGTATCGGAAGCCCTGTTGCTCTACTACTGCTGCGTGGCGTGCCGTGTATTGATGTTGATGTGTCCGACCAAAAAACAGATCGATCATCTAGCCTCGTCTTTAGCAACGGCACTTTGGTGAGGTGGAACACGTCTCTCACATACCTTCTTTGAGCAGCACCCAAGCCCCCAGTACCCACGAACAAGCACGGCGCCGGGTGAGTATAATGTAGACAGCCCAACCGAAGGAATCAGCGCCTTACAGGTCTTGGCGCTGCTGCCGTACTCGTTGTACTGTTTCCGTGTAAGCTATGTGTGATTGAAAACCCTTCTCCAGCACCAACAGTAGCAGATGACGACGAGAGAGCACCACGCAATATCTCATTTTGGACCAAGAACGGACTGAACGCGGCTTCTGTTGCTTGTCCATGTCGACAACAGACCTGGACGTGAGTTTGGCAGGTCTAGCTAGCGTTCTCAGTGATGTTCCAACTATTCGCGGTGCGCCTGCCCGACCCTTGTGTCATATTCCCGGATCCGGGAATAAATTCGCTACTTTCCCTGATCAGGGGAGCAACGCCTCCATATCTATCCGAAAAAGCATGGAACCGTTTTTTTCGTTTGTTTTTCGTCGTTAACAGTGACCCAAAGTGTGCACGCTCACGGGGTAAAATTTCAACCCTTGAGCCTTGATTTCGTCCGCGCTCAGTTTGAGTGTATCGGGGCGATATCGACAATCTGTTTCGATACCTGTGGTTTCTAAAACACCCTCCACCCAATCACGTCGTCGGCTTTGGCCGTAACCCTAGCATGTACAATCCTCAAGAGGCATACGCGGCACCTGCTGGACAAGTTTTTGACATGGCCTGACATTGCGTAGCTGATGGTTAACCTGAACGGGTAACGAAATACAGGCAGGCAATATCATATCCCGAGGACGACATGGACTACCAATGAGCAATCTGACCCGATGTCAAAGCAGTGTTGGCACGGCAGCGGTACCCCTTCATCGCAACAATAAACGTGGCGTCAAGGACAACCCTGACTAATTACATACGCTAATGACAACCCGAGGGCTGTGCCTGATTCAAATACACACGGTGTTGACCTCAACATATACTAACATGTCTCACACTACTTTACGGTTGCACAGCTGAAGGAGAGGTTGCATTGGATGGAGGACAACAACGACCAGGCTGGCAGCTCGTCCAACGGCGTCAACGACTCATTCGATTCATCGACGACTGTCGTCGACGAGGGCGACATCTACACGGGCGACGGCCACCTCCGAGGTCTGTTCGACGGTAGCTCAGACGGCATGGTGGAAGATTTAACGGGCTCGTCTGAGGCTCCTGAGGCTACACCCTGGACTGTGCCGACCGGTGTTTGCGACCTTGCAACTGAGAGCGGACAAGGCGACTTCCTAACGGGCCCGTGGCGCTCAAACGCCAGCAGCACCACCACCACCACCACCGGAGGCGATGGAGACGGCCGCGGCGGCAACGGCCACAACCCCACGTATTCCGCAGCGAGGCGCACCGGCAACAACCACGAGCTTCATGGCCACTACCGGGGCACAGGAGCTCCCTTTACGCCACAGCCGATGGGATCCATGGGGCACATGGCCGTTGGATACAACGGCGCGGCCGGGATCATCAACCAGCCACCAACGGAATTCGGCCCGGGTGCCTGCAGCCAACCTTGGGTTTCCCTTGCCGACTACCACGCCATCTGTTCTGCCCAGTGGCCTCATCATCAGCTCGGCGGGGCACACGGACAGCACAGGGGGCAGCTAGGAGCCAACACACCTTACGGGCCCGGTGTATCAACCTTCCTTCCTTCTGTTGGGGGGTCTTCATTGGACACCCTCCCATCCGCTTTGGCACCGTACGGAATGGTTCAGGGCGCGCCTGGCGGAGCTCCCGCGACTGCGCATGGGTCATCGTCCTATTTGGGGGTTGGCCCAGCGATTCCACTATCTGCTGGTGCAAACAAGGTTGCTGCGTCTGCTGGGGTGGCGGCGGTGGCGCCTCTTGCTGGTCCAGCGATTGCTGTCCCTCCTGCTCCAGCGGTTGCGCCCCCTGCTGCCCCTGCGGTGGCGCCCCCTGCTGCAGCGGCGGTTGCGCCCCCTGGAAACGCCGCAGTCGCCCAGGGAGTACCAGGTGAGGGTAACATGGTCAGGTGCAGTACACCCCAGTGCACGTTCGACTACCCCGTTTACGATCGCGCCGTTCGGGTTCGATAGCGCGTAGACTTTGTGTATAAAAATCGTTTTTTGTCGCCGCCCTCCCCCCGTGCTTCGTTGGGTTGAGGGAAATACACGATTCAGCCCCGGTGTGAATAGGAAAGGCTATCGACACGTGCGCAACTATAATTTCAACCTGCAAACCACAGTTCACCCAGAATACTACCCGATATTCGAAATCCTTCGTCCACCATGTACTTACGCCCTCCGAATGGAACCATAATGTTTGCGACCAGACCCAGAACTAGATGGGTTTCGGGAGCAACTGGAGTTGATGCAGTCCCCGTCGGCGACCGTGGGAACCCTACGCGCGACCATCGCGTCCTTCGAGGCCATGAAGAGCTGCCGCAGGATGAACGGCAAACCCAACCTGACCAACTCCGTCGCTACTCTACCCCTTTACAAGGCTCCCAACATATCGAGGTAGGTCCCTAAGTAACCTCATTCGTATGCATCTAGGAAGTGGGTGGAGTATGCCATACCACGCGGACTTTATCCCGACCGAACTGAACCCAAGGAAACACGCTACAGGCACTACGACAGTAGTTGCAGACGTCTTACGACGCACTTGTCTCTCGACGCAACCACATAGACTAGTACACGAATCAGTCCGAGCTGGCTATGCGTAGCGAGGGGCGTTCGTCCTGCCGTGCATGAAGGCGTGGTACGTAGTTGCTCAATTCCGAGTCCATCCACAGCCATATAGACTATGCTACAAACATAATTCCTGGTCATACACGCACGTGTGCGTCAAAATGCACCTGTAAACCCTGCTGTTGGTCCAACCCCCCCATCAGTCAAACCCTGGTAACTAATGTAGACTCCGCGTCTGGCATGCATACTAGACTATGTACAATCAAGGTTTTAGCTCCGTCAACAGAAAACAACGACGCCCGCTAATTCTTGCTTCCTGGTGAGTTAGCGGGGCTACTGTCCGCTGCCAAGGAAGAAACCCATTACTTAGGCACATGTATGTATGTAGCTCTTCTAACATTGATACATCCCTGGCAAACACCAAGCACACGCATGTACACGTACTGTTTTCTCCACTGAAGTGGGCGCTTGTACGCTCATCCTACTGTACACTGTATTTATTCACTACATTCACAACTTTCCTTCAACAATCACACGACTGTATTTATTCACTGCATTCACAACTTTCCTTCAACAATCACACGACCACGCCCCAATCACCACCCTGTGCTTTCCAGATGGGCTAAGCAGTGTAGGCTGCTGAGCAATGCCGATGCTAACCAAGAGCTCCGGGAGGCTCGTAAGGCCATCAACATGTAGGACGTCTACCTTCCCATCCTCGCTTGGGATAAATAACCTGGCAGAACCTGCTACACTGCGAAGCACCCAGTTTCTTCCAGGTCCAGTCTTTTGAGTGGGGACGTGCGCAACGGCTGGGTTCTGCGGTACGGGCGAGGACGTTTTATCTCGTAGGCCCTTCGAAGTCGGTTATTGCCTGAGAGCACACGCGAGTCGTCTTCTATCTGGTAGGCTGTCGTCCGTATTTCCGTCTCGGTTGCTTATCGCATGGGTAACGCTGAAATATGAATTGCGTGTGCAGTACAATCGATGGATCTTTTTGTGCTCGGTTCCGCAGTTCTGCACACTCATTCCTTGTTTGGTCCATTCAGTATGTTTTTTGCCTTTGCTTGGTGGTTGAAGTGTGGCTTCCGCACTGCACCAGCGAAGGCGTTTCTTTTCTAGCATACTTCTTCAAGTCGTCGATGGATCGTGTGGGAGTACACGCGAGCCTTTCTGCTTTCTGGCTGGATGTCGTTATTTTTTCAGTGTCGATTGCGTGTAGTGTGTGCGACGTCCCTCACGGTCGTTGTGCTATTAGGTTGCAGTCCAAGCGACGGATCGGTTTGCCCTCGAGTCCGCCGTCCTGCCCACCGATTCCTTGTTTGCCATTCCTCGTTTGGTCCTTCCAGTTTGTGTTTTCCTTGCCTTGATGGTGTACGGGTTGGTTCCACACTGCACCAGCGAAGGCGTTTCTTTTCTAGTATACATTTTCCAAGTCGATGGATCCGGAGGGAGTACACGCGACCTTTTTGCTTTCTGGTAGACTGTCGTTCGTATTTCCGTCTCAATTGCTTAGCCGTGTGTGTGACGCTGCAATATGAATTGCGTGTCTCGGGTGCAGTGCAATCGACGGATCTGTTTGCGCTCAAGTCCATAGTTCTGCACACTCATTCCTTGTTTGGTCCATTCAGTATGATATTTTGGGTGGGGTTCGTGGTTGAAAGGTGGCTTCCGCACTGCACCAGCGAAGGCGTTTCTTTTCTAGCATACTTCTTCAAGTCGTCGATGGATCGCGTGGGAGTACACGCGAACCTTTCTGCTTTCTGGCAGGATGTCATTCATATTTCAGTGTCGATTGCGCGTAGTGTGTGCGACGTCCCTCAAGGTCGTTGTGCCCTTAGGTTGCAGTCCAAGCGACGGATCGGTCTGCGCTCGAGTCCGACGTCCTGCACACCCATTCCTTGTTTGGTTCATTCAGTGTGTTATTTTCCCTTGCCTTGATGGTGTACGGGTTGGTTCCACACTGCACCAGCGGAGGCGTTTCTTTGCTAGTATTCATTTTCAAGTGGATTGATCCCGTGGGAGTACACGCGAGCCTTTCTGCTTTCTGGTAGGAAGTCGTTCGAATTTCAGTCTCGATTGCTTAGCCGTGTGTGTGACGCTGCATGACGGCCATTGCGTGTCTCGGGTGCAGTACAATCGACGGATCTGTTTGCACTCGGGTCCGCAGTTCTGCCAGTTGTGCACACTCATCCCTTGTTTGGTCCATTCAGTATGATATTTTGGCTTGGGTTCGTTCATGGTTGAAGGGTTGATTCAACACTGCACCAGCGAAGGCGATACTTTTCCAGTGTACATTTTCAAGTCGTCGATGGATCGCGTCGGAGTGCACGTCTGCCGGTTCCGTCTCGATTGCGTACAGTATTTTGTCCTAAATCCCGAATGGTTGTAGAGCAGTACAAGGGCTTCAACCACTTCACACCCCACTCGTTCGTACGCATTAAGGGGTCAGTGCCTGGCTAGTTGAAACACAAAAGGACATGTACTCGGCAAAGTGGGAGGGGGGCAGGAATGGACTTTCATATTCGTTGTCAGCGGTGTTTGTTGCTCTACTTTTTTATTTCGGTGATGGTTGCTATTATAGCGTCGAGCGTACCCTTTGATCTCTTTGATCTGCATGGTCGTTGGGGGACGTGCGAACGTTGGATAGGAGGGTGTGTTGACATCATGAATTGCCGTAAATGCAGGCCACGGGCTGCCCCCGGCGTAAACCCTATGAAGGTGAACCGTACCTTTTGTTTGTTGTGTTTGAAGGATATTCTCCGGTTGAACGTGTGTACCATACGCAGGATGACACCTAAACGTGCCTGTCTGCATGTCGTCTCGCCTATGCTACATCTTCAACCCGTAGAACGTCTGGAACAAACGGTCGGTGGCCATTCCGTTAGCAACGTTCATGTCGTGAATAACCGATTGGTCTCCTCCAAAATAAGCTTGTTTGGTTGTTGTGTGCATACGGTACGCTTCCTCAACTACCAAAGCTACTTTGCTAGCTTATTTGTGACGAAGCGCCGTACTCTGTTGACCTGACATGCAGGTGACTTCAAGTGTGCGGGGATGGCGGATCAATAGGCGTATTCATCGTCGTAGTGGTGCAGGCCGCCTGTGGCGGGGCTGCGGTGACGCGAACAACCAAACCCTTGATACATCTAACTAAGGGGGGTGGTAACGAAGTCGTTAAGATGTGTGTGTCATTCGCGAATATTATCGCAGCCTTGGGGGAGATTTCGTGGCCGGCAGTCGGGGATAACCCGTACTACTGTATTTTAGTTCGTTACTATCGACCAGGCACCGTCGTTTGAGTTTCATATTGAAACACTGTGGCCTAATTCGCTAAGCCAAAAACACGATATGGAATCATTTTCGCCCAAACACAGATGGCCACGATCGTGTAGCTGTTACCAGAAGTGCAGCAGCACCGCAGTAGCCCTGCATGGGCAAGTCAGTTATGTGCAACGATTTTAGAGCGCTTCGATAGTTGGGTTTTCAAACCGGTTGTAGCGACAGAACATCCCCTCCTTCAACGTTGACTACAAACACTCTTGCTGTGTTCCGCCCACGGTTAGCGCGTTCCTGGCCGGCAGCAGGACGTAAGTCCCCCGCGGTTGACGGTTTAAAACTTGCATTTGTAGAAATGGGTAGTAGTGTCGAGGTGCCCTGTACCCAAGGGTCGTCTGCAGGCAGTTAAGCCTTTGTGCAGTTCCAGATAGAAGTCTGTGTGATGTTCAGACCGAAGTCTGTGCAGACCGAAGTCTGCTGAGGCAGTGACCGAAGTCGACGATGTTGCTAAATGCCGCTTCTGGGACTTGTATTTTCTTTCTTCTTCTTCAGTTTACTTGTAGAGGAGAGATGCTGAGGAATAGTTGGGGAGTGAGCACGGTGGGGCTCGCACACCTCGTGATATTTCGCTACCATTACAATCATCTCATAAACCATCAAGTCATTCATGACACCGTGTTACGTCTACTGTACAAGACGTCATTTATCACACCGCATCTACGTATCAAGAAGGTTCCGTCGTTGACAATCTTGTCCACGGCCATGTAGAGATGGGAAAGTTGCTTGTTATTGCTGAGAGACGATCAGCAAGGGTCAGTACATTTTACCATCCATGCGAAGGGATTTTTACTTCTAAATTTACTGTCTCCTCATTGGTTGGAGATGCGCGTGCGCGCGCTCCCTCGGTGAACCTCTTTTTGGTTCTATTCACAAAGCTCTCCTGGGGTGCGGAAACCCCGGCGCTATAGCTACATTTCTCCGCACGCCGCGCACGAGGTGCGCGTGCTGTGAAGGACGGACAGGGCGGCCGTGCTACCTTATCGACACGTAGCCTCTAGAGGGAGGCATTGCATAGCGTGGCTTCCACCGTTGGCCACCACAGCAGCGGTCAGTCGTTGATGCAAGGAGGTGAGCGGCATGCTGCCGAGCACGCGCTCTGCTGGCGGCGCGCATCATGATGCTGATCATGATGCAGGCGCGGATGACTGCGTGGATGGTGCGGCTGGTCGCCAGCACAAGCCGTTGTCGCACCCCTTGCCCGCAGCCCCATGCGCGAACACTGGAGAGAGTTCCAACTTCTTGCAGCAAAACCCTCCTCGAGAACGGACAGCGACCTCTTCCGGTAGCGAGCCGTCGGGCAATTCCCATCTGTCGGCCAGCGGCGCGCCTGGCGGTGTTGCCACCGTCGCGAACACATTTCCTTGCGACACTCCTGCGGCTATCGGAGCGGCTCGCAGAAGTGTGAGTGGACGTGAATCACCACCAGCGAAACGCCACGCGTCGCAAAGCCCATCATCCCGGGGGAGTTTGGGACGAGATGCAAGAAATTCATGCGAGGGCTTCGGGGCCGGTGAACGTCGCGGCAGGGTGCTGCACTCGTTCCTTGCTACAGCTGTGCAGATGTCCCAAGCATCGGAGGCCTTGGGGACGCCAGGGGAGCTATCAGGTGATGGTTTCGAATTCGCGGAACCACATACGCCCCTTTCGTCTGCCATTGGGGTACCTACGGGACCGGGATACTGCTCTACCCGTACGCACGGGCCGAGTGCACCACTACTACATTCGGAGGTAGAGGGAGTAGCGCAGCTAAACTATGAACGCTGACGCCAACTTGGAGCAATGTTGCCACCATGGCAGCGCCTAGCCAACGAAGTGCCGTGGCGACCGCAGCAGCAGCAGCAGCAGCAGCAGCAGCAGCAGTAGCAGCAACAGCAACAGCTGTCAGCCGCCGGTTCCTTTGGAGGGGTATGGCCGCCGCCCCGGCCGCCGCCGCGGCTTTTGATGGCGCAGCAGGGCGCAGCTGGCGGGGCGGTGTTACAGCCGCAGCGGGATAGAGGGGTACGTCAGCCACTTCCGCCGCTGCCGTTGCCTGTGCAGCAGAGGACGGCAGGTGGCATCGTCGGTGACGCCCTGACCGGTCATGGTTTACATCTGGTTTTGCAGCATGGCGCACCGCATGGCTCAGGGACAGGCTGTCATGAGGAGGAAGACGAGGGGGGGGGGGGGAGGCAAAGGATGCCTCCAGCGGAAAGCCCGTCCCTGTCATCGTGCCTGCTAATGCTACGTTGGCGAAGCGCAGCTGGTGCTGTTCGAAAAGCAAGACAGTTACTTCGATTTGTCGTGGGTGTCTCAAACGATGGCATTGCCACGTCGACCATGGGCTGATCGACCTTACCAAGGATCGCTTCATTTGCTGCTTCTGCGATACGACGACGAAGTCGGCATGTCTGTGTCACGCGTGAGTACCCAATATCGTTTTCCGCTGTTCAGTTTCTTTGTTCAATTGCAATTCTCTTTAATTATGTGACCAAGAGTGATGTGCCAAATCGAGTTCTCGGATGCTTCTCGCACACGTGGGTGTCACCCGATTCGATGCCACCCATGTGGTTTGTTTGAGAGGAATATGCAACAATATCTTGACTTTCACAGCGCTCGCGCAGCCTGGTAGGCTGTCACCTGTTTTCACCTAGTTGCTCCGGGAATGTTGCTGGTGATCTGTATCGACTCCAACTTTTCTGGTTGCTTGGCCATCGGTGTTTGTTAGGTCTTCACCCTCTCGCAGTGTGACCAAGACCGGAGCGTCCACAATACGACCTGCTCTCAGCGTGCGTGCTGTACGTATACTCATTTCCCCCCCCTCTATTCTTCCCACCATCACATGCTTCGTACTCATACAGGTGCAAGAAGAGCAAAGCTGATAAGCGAGCGGCATCCCAACGAGCTCAAGCCGGCCACATCCACGGGAGTAGCGTGTCCCGACTGGTTCACCGCCAGGCTCGAACCAGCGCTTTCAAGCTCCGTCTGCCTCTCACGGTGGCGGCGCGCAACTCTAGAGATAGACAAAAGGCACTGTTTTCGGTGTCCACTACCGCCCGCGGCGACCGTGTCATGGTCATCACCGACGTCACCGCCGAGCAACCTGGTGCGCCTGCAAGCTACATCGTGAACTGCTGCGATAACCGATGCCACAAGTGAGTCGATGTAGTAGTTGGGGGATGTCACGAAACAACAGTGCTTGTGTAGTGTTCGATACTCTTCTTTCTCACCGGCAAATCTCCGATCGAAACTACACGTTATTGTTGCAACCCAACGCTTGTATAACTCGTTTGGAAAAGAAAGACATTTGCCCAGGTAGGGGCCCGGCCGTTCTGCATTCTCATTTTATTTTTCGACAGTTGCTGCTCGCTAAATTTATCAGAAACTAATCGGCATATATATTTTTTTCTGACGATGCACTGTCACTTTCACGGTTGCTTTCGTTTGGTTTTGCAGTGTGCAAGCGGAACCCGAGCACGCGCCAAACGCCGAGCAGGTTGCAGCGGGTCAATGTGAGCACGCTGACGTCATTCTCGGAGATGGGACCACTCCGAAGGCGGATATTCCTGAAGCAGAGCCGGTTGTCTTTGGCAAGCATGGGGAAGGGATCGAAAGCGTTGGGGATGCAGCGATAACCCAGATGGTTTTGACTCAGGGTAGCTTTGACACCATTCTAAGGATGGCAGCGACTGCAGAGGAGCATGGGGTGCCGCTGTTGATACGCTTAGGCGAGACTCAGACGTATGTTGTGTACCATCCGGGTCATCGGTCTATTCCTGGCAGCTGGGCACACGTCGAGACGGATTTCCCGCAACCACCCGGGTCGAAGAAAGCGCCATCAACGAGAAGGCGGACCACTGAAAGGAAGCAGATCCAGTGCAAGGTGATAGTCTACTACTGCCGATGCATTGACTGTATGTAGAGCGCTTACTACGCGGTGCAGCATGGACGTGTTGATACGTAGGGGCGTGACCCCCCAACGCCTGGAATGAAGCTCACTCCCCTTCCGGCATGTTCCTGTTGCTGTCCCCGGCGTACCGCTCTCTCCTGCCAGAGCGCTGACCAACAACTACTTGAAAAAGCTGTTGCTTGACGCGTATCTGGCGTTCGAAGCCCTCACCGACCACCCTTACGGGTTCTTCAGCTTCATCGACGGGTTTTTTCCGCTCCTTTCGAGTTTTGACGGCTGCGCCAAGCTGGCAGTCAACATCTGTATCGAGAAGTACCTGCAAAAGCGCATGAAGCAAGTGATCGACATGGACCTTGATGCCATCTGGCTCGTCATCAGCATGCTGTCGCCGATGGTGTTCGGAATGCGGCTGCAGTTCTCACAAAACACGCCGGTGACTTTTTGCCCCCAAAACCGCAAGTCCAACATTATCGTGGTGCCTGCTCGTGGACATGCCCCGCGTAGCGGAGATGCACAGGCTGCCGATGGCCAGAAACTGATGGAGCGTGTCCGGGAGAACGAGGATGGTCTTGGGCTATCGGAGATTTTGGAGGGCATGTCGCTGGACGGGCTGAAGGACCTCTATCGTTTGTGCTTTGGGCCGCGAGCGCCGGGAATTAGCAGGTATTTTTCACGAGAAGCTACAGCGATTTCTTTTGTCCATATTGCCAAAATTCTTGAGGTGGTAGCGCTTATTACAGAATGGGCCGCTAATTTGCCGTAGTATTTAGTTTTTATCCCCCCTTTGTTACTCTGCAATGATCATGTTGCGTGTTGTTCGAGAAGAACCAGTGATTCCGTGAGGCACTATGAGAAATCGTTTCTTGGTTTCTACGCAGGGGTTGTACTTGTCATGGTTCCACCGCACATTTGAAGTGGCTCAATTGAGGGCTGAGAGGTAGCTCGAGACTATTGCAGTAGTTGATTCAACAGGTATCATTATTCATATCGAAAACATCGACAGCTGTTCGCGCGTTTGTTTTCCGTGTGGGGGAGTGGTGGGTATCGTCGGAAATATGGACGCCCGTCGTATGCGTTCAATTTATGCCTTCGAGCCGGGTGTTTCGCTCGTCAAGGTGACGTCTGCTACAAACCTCCAAACTTGTTCATCTCATAGCTCAGGAAAAGATTAGGGACGCCGAAAGTGCATGCGCACCCATGTGGGAAGCTTTAATTTATCGCGCAGTGCGAGACATGCTTCCTTTTTCCACACGAAGTAGGGCGTGTTGGCATGTAGAGCAAAGAGCAATTGCACTGCCATGAGCACTGATCGCTCTCATACAAGATTTTCTGTCGGTCTCTTGTCAACTGCCCTCTATCCACTCCCCCCACCCTCAGGTACCCCAACAGGGTGCTGCTGATTGAGCTGTTCAAGACGGTGGAGAAGCTCTGGCGGGAGAACAACCATGGAAAGGAGGATTGCTCAAAGTTCTTCATGGAAAGGGGGGCATGGTTGGTCTCGTCTGGGGTGGAGGGGGGGTACAGCCCGGACGGAGTCCAGACGTGCCATATGTTCATGCTACGGGCGGAGAGCCCCACAGACTTGGCCGTGCTCCTGTTGCACCACGTGGTGAGTGCCCCGTTGTAGAGAAACACAATTATCGTATTGATCACGAGTGCTCGTTCAAAAGATCCCGGACTCTTGAAAACATTGAAAGTCGAAAACGTTCGACAGATGGTGAGCAGGCTTTGATTAACGAAGGTGTGCACATTTTGCGTTGGTATAGATCAAAAGTGTAGTTGTACATACTTCCGGTCTTTGTTGCAAAACGACAAGTGCCGATTAGGGCATCTAGCGGGTTGAAGCAACATCTACGTGGAGGAGACAACATGGTCACCTACGAGGTGTCTGCATGCTGCGATGTTCACGCACTCCCAACCTTGAAACTATCGTAGAGCACCACCACGCCGACGCGAAAGTACTCACGGCTGACTTTTGGTTTGTCCACCAGTAATTGGGCGGGACAAGCACAAACCGCAATCCGGTTGTGCAAAGGTCTCTTTCACGCCATGTGTTTCTTGTTGTCCTTGCGCTTATGATAAACGACGTACTCGTTGTTGGCCGTGTTTTTCGAATATAGTACAACCGACTTCGGGTCAACCCTAAGTTTTAACTCCGCGCATGGAGCACAGAAAAAATGGCTTTGGTCAAATTGATGCAAGCGCGTGTCAAGCTAAAGTCTGTCTGTGTGTGCACGCATGATTTCTTGATTACCCAGTACTGGAAGCCCGAAACCATGCCGCAGGTGCGGCCACAGCGATAGCGATACCACGCCCACGCATGTCCACACCGGAAGTGAAAACTGCGTATCGTTTCAGAATAAAATAAAACTTGGAAGTTTTATGTGGAAGTAGAGTGCAACCGCCCTCTGAACGAAAGGGGCAAGGGGCAAGGAAAAGGAAACACGTACTACTGCGGTGCATGACCCAAAGCACGTCTGCCAGCCACACCCGCGCGTGCTTTTCGTGGGTACACTATGGTAGTTCCACGCACGGCTTTTGTTGTTTTTTGTGTTCACATTGAAAACCGCCCCGGTCTCCGCGCAGTACCTTTTAATATCCGTATACTACAGGTACAACTGACGCGGACGCCTTCCGTGGTCACAAGCCAACTACACCCCCAAAGGGTACACTATACCTTTTCTAGAACGAAACGAAAATATAAAATGGGCTAATTTCTCCAAATGCGGAAACAGCGTAGAACAAAAATAACATGCGTCCAACAATTCGCCATTTCGAAACATGTTACCACCTGTGTCAACAGGTGCGTGCATCAATATCCCAAACAAGGACCCCCTTGTTTTTTCACAGAGCGGCTGCAGCTTTTTTTCATCCAATCTTTCGTGTGAAGCCTAGCCACCTGCCGAAAGCTCGCGTTTGCCACATAGGCCACCGCTTCCCTCCAAATGCCCCCGAGCCGCCAAGCTAGATATGCACAATCCGCAGGTGGTCACGAGACCGTGTACATGCACAGAAAGCATGGTCTTTGGGAGAATTTTGGTGCACATTTAAGATGTAGAACGTTTCCAGGAAATTAATTTTCTCTGTGTTGTAATGAGCAGTAAACACTGCTCCAATCGATTGAACTGGTTGCCCCGCTCGCGCATGGAGGCCCGGAGTGCGCATGTGTTGTGCCCAAGCCAGAGATAAATATTATATAGAACGCCACCAACGCGCTACTTCTAACACAACTCACAGCATGCACGAAGAAAATATGACCATCAAGCAAGCAGGCCGTAGGATAGGATGTAGACATAATATCTTATCGACTCCAACTCCAATGCTCGCACCAGTATTAATTCTGGGAACAGTTGGTCGTGCGCACGGCCAGACCCTGTGTCGCTTTTTTTATCTGAAATCTAGTGTTGTCCAAAAAATCAAGTCGGAATCGAAGTCTGCACATGTGCTGTTCTCAAAGGGAGGCATGGAATTGTGTCACCTCTTCGGAAAAGTTTGCAATTTTTCCTCGTCTTGTCTCGCACATTCCCCCGTTGGACTCTTCTCGGCAAGTACTCAAACAGCGTCCACGACCTCGGGGTTGTCTACACAACATGTGTGTGACCCTTATCTCGAAAGGCTTTTAAATGCAAGAAATGGGCACCGGGGTAGAACAACTTGGCAGTCTGTGTTAAGTCTATTGCTGGCGTATCCGTCTCAGATTCGTTTGTGAACTGTCTGTTGAATACGTCAGGCGAAAACACGACAGTAGAACCCAAGAAAACTTTGTCAACTTCCCACGCTCTACCTTCACCCATGCTTTCATGTCCCCCGTGTCCCCCATTGTTAATGCAGCACATGCCATTCCTCGTCATCACGGACATCATGTGTCGTGTAGGTCCGATCGTCCACGACCGCTGCCAGACGGCGGCGCCGAACGAAGGAGTTCTTCCCCGGGTTGGCGAGCCTGACGAGCATGGCATGCGGAAGGTGGACATCCCAGCACTAGCGCCTCTGGGAAATTACTTTCTTGGCGCCGATCAGGTTTCGGAGCCCGTACCGCAGGAGAAATGCACTCAACGCAATGTGTACAATCTCCTGCGCGATGCGCAAACTTCTCCTCCGGTTCAACGGTTGGACTTCGGTCAGCTTCTCAGCGTTTCAGCATGGCAGGATAGAGAAGAAGGGACCACCGCCGTGGACTTCGTGCTGCTTGCTCGGGCCCGTTTGCGGAACCTGCGCCGCCGAAGCCACCACTCCATGGACCTCTTTGAGGTAGTGGCTGTTCTGAACGTGCGCCTCACCAAGCTCGTGGCTTTCATCAGCGAAGGACAAGACAAGGAGGTCCCGCCAGCAGTACTTGTCGAGGAAGAGCTGCCGACGTTATCGGCGCAGAGCGTGTTCTCCACACGCGTTCTCGCGGTGGCGACTGGGTCCACCACCGGCAAGGCTCCGGAACTCCCTGCCTTCTCTCAGCATCTTTGCGAACCTGTGGCTGGCCAGAATGATCTTCGACCTGCGGCGCTCGATCACCTGGTTTTGGCCTACGCCCGGGTGAGTACGCCTCCTTTGCGTAGCTGACGTAGTGGGCTGTTGTGCTTTGTCTTTGGCGGTATTATCAATCCTGGTGGTAGTTCGTTGCTCCGTTGGTCAAGTGGGTTTATTTTCGCGTTCCTCATTGAACATCGTTGTCCCTCCTTCTTTTTTTTCTTCCACCTTACGTTCCTTCCGTTTTCCTTCTCGGCGTCGCCGGTTGATTTGATTTCTGCGCGCGGCAAAACCTACCTTGTTTCATGTTTTGTTATTCAATTCGGAGCAGTGAACATAGGTAGATCACTGCTGACATATTGACATATTACTCATGTGTTGCTGCAATTTGAAAAACAATGCTAGAGACGCTAGAGCGGGGAACAAGAACATCTTTTCTCGCATGCTGGTAAGGACATGCGCATGCTCTGTGCCCACCGCTAAATCTACCACACCTCTCCTATTCAGCGCATGCACTTCGTTGCATATTAAAAGGCTGTAGTGCTCGAAGCTCTTGAGTTGCTGCCATGTCAACAAGACTACCCAGCAATGTTTTTTTTTTCTGATGCTTGTACAGAGTTTCCTGTATAAATGCATTAAAGCAGCCCATTGCGGTAACCCAACTATTTAGACAACTTTTTCGACCACACGGTTTACTTTCCGTCCCCTTCTTCGGGACCTCTGACATCTGGATCAGGCCAAGGAGGAGTTCATCGCGATTGGACTTCAACCCGCCAACCAGTGCGCAAAGAAGAGGGCAGGTACGAGGACGTGGACACTTACTTGCGTGTTAGGTGTTGAGGCTAGTCGTTTTGTTGGTCCAAGAATCTAAGGACCACCAATCTACCGGGCTGTGTACGTTTTTCCATAATGTGTCAATGTTGGTGCCGGTATCAGGCCGGTATGATACATGTCGTTCGTTACCTCCAGGCCGGCTCAAAATGATCAAACCTTAGTCAAATCGTTTTCCCGAGCCAACACATGGCATGCCGTTTTTTTGTACGTCATCTCTGTTCGTCCTCACAGAACTGGCTGTGCGCTCAGGAGCATGCTTCGGGTCGGCGGTGCAGCGTACGAGAGCCCTTCAGAATCAGGTGGCTCAACATCAACCGGGGAAAAGCGCTGACACCAATGGCATCGTGGAAGAGTATGGCCTTCCGTTCGACATCCAACCGCTGCAGGAGGACCCCGCGGCGACAGTGCGCAGAACGCACGCCTTGGGGAGCAATGCCGGGCCTCACTACGGGCCTGACGCCCTGCACGACTGCAACCACGGGGATGACTGCCGCCAAAAGTACGGTGGGATAGACTCATGCGCCCAGCTCTCGGGGGTCAACCTCAACGCGCACGAGCAGAACCATGTGAAGAAGAAAAGGTTTCTGCACATGTTGAATGTCATGAAATTTGACCGCTTCGCGTTCATGGTAACTCTGATCAACGAGACCGAGAATGAGGCAATAAACCGCAAATCGGTGGCAAACATGGTCAAGCGTGTTCGAGGCCATGGCTCGGAACGAGTAGAGATTTGCCAGGCTCAGTTTTAGTTCTGCGGCAGATGCTTCTGCCAGAAGTCTCTAATGCGATCATTCGACCAGTTCGGCCGGGTCCGGCTGACCTTTGTTAAGCCATAGCCATACTTTTGGGGGGGCTCGGATGTTGTTGTACAATGTCTCGGATGCTTTGTGGTACGGTATCCGCTTGAGCTGAACCGCTTGCGCCATTACGTCATTTCGCCCGGTTCGCAGTGGTGGGTAGAGTTCATTTTTTTTTGTAGTCTTTCGGTTGATGGTGTGTCGAGGCTGGTGGTAGGAATATACAGCTCCGCGTTTTGGGGGATAGATACGTTTGGTTTTTCTTGAGGGGGATTCATTGGTTTCGCTACACGATAGGGTTGCTTCAAGAACTATTTCCGAGCCCACCGACGTTCCGTTTGTCAGCCTTTCACAGCACTTCCAGTACTATCGACTGCTCGCTGTTTTTTGTGTTTCCAAGAGCGCGATGTATCTTTTGCCTTCGAGCCTTGGCTTGAAAGATGCGTATCCAAGGACAACCAGACCTGTTCCCAAATGTGAAAGTAACGAATTGTCGAAGAACCGTTGTTGATCCTATATCCATAACAAGGCAGACCTACCTACCATTGGGTTCAGCTCATTGCGTTCCATCCGGATGAGGGTAGAAATTATTTTGTGTTCTGTCCAAGAAAGTTGTCTGGTGCCCACTTGCCCACTTGCCCACTTGGCAATAATTTTCAGGTTGCGTTTTGGCATTCAATACCATTGCGTCCTGGACTTGTGGTACGTACATGCCGTTTCGAGATACCGTAATGGTCCGAGAAATGGCACCGGGTGCGATCGTTTTTTTAAATGTTCTTCCTTGAGTTTTTATCGCGCCCCGGTGCCATGTCTCCGACCCCGGTGCGGGAATGCAATTAGATCTTTTTGATTATATTTTCAAGGCACCCCGGTGCGATCTCTCCGACCGGTGCGATCTCCGATGAAATACACACAGGTGTTGTATGAGTGGGAGCATACCGGTAACGGCAACGTAGGCTGGTACGTAACAGCTTTCCATACAGCGAGTGGTGTCGTGTTTGATGCGAGTTTGGCTATAGAGTGACGACGAGAAAGGATGTCGTTTCCATCTGAGGTACTGGTACATACGGCATCAGTTGTCTTCCGCTTTCGTTTCGGTGTTCCTCTACGGATACCAGTACGTACGAAGCAACAATAGCTTCGTGTTGTGTAAGGTGGGGTAGGATGCGGCTTGTACGTTGTGTGTCTGGTTTAGAGTATACGGTTGGCAACTTCCATACCAATTCAAATATGAAATCAACTGGCATCCCGTGTGAACCGCGACCATGCATACGTACATGCAGGGGTGGCGCTCCGCTGACACCGTCCCCACATGTATAAGGAACACACAATGTACCTCACTCCGACAGCTGAAAATGAGCTCAATCTTGGGTTTGGCGGTCGGTGTGCGATCTCACTGACCCCGGTGCGTAAATGGATGTAAATCGTGCCGTTCTCGTATTTTTTTTAGCAACCCCGTGCCATCTCCCCGACCGGTGCCACCTCTCAGACCGGTCCTATCTCTCCGACTATTACGGTATATATTAAAGCTATGTTGTTTTCTTTCCGCGTTCACCCCTTCTAAACCAAAGCTTAACAAGCAGGCTATCGGCGAGACTATGTCGGCTCCTCTCTCCCCTCCTGCAACTCCCCCTTCAACCAACTTCCCCTTCAACCTACATGAAGTAGAGTCTACAAGTAAGTATGCTTACAACTACGTGGCGACGACTCGCTCAAACCTGGTGTATAATATCTCCTCAATATATTCTCGATAGTTGGACATGGGAAGGTGTTGAATCTAGTATCTGCCATTTGCAACCTACATGGGAGCAGATCATCTGCGATGTGTGCCTGTAAATGGAGCAGCCTACCCGCCTGGCCCGTACCGTAGGTGACACTAGATACCATACCCCCACCGATTTTCAAACATCAATTACTCCACGAAGAGAATGCGTGCATGAAACGACTGTTTCAGAAGGCTCTTGACAGAGCGGCTTCAACGCCGCCGTTTCCGGCGCTGCCACGCTCCTGCTGTGAAAGAATGGAAATTGGAAAATCGGTCGAGGGGGTGTGATATCTTGTGTCATACCTTGTTTAGGTCTAGCCTGAGCCGGAGATGGGTAGGCTTTCGACGCCTTATAGGGTGGCTGTGGGGGATTGGGGGAAACATGCTTCTTCAGACGTCGTATGGCTTGTTGTGCAGTGTTGTGCCTGGTTGGACGTTGGCAAGCTATCAATCTGGAAGCAGATGGCAGCGGCAGATCTGGATGCTGATGCGCCTACCTCTAGCGTTGCGGGGCAATCGGTTGTTTCTTTCGTGTACAGCACAGAAAGCGGTTCTGGCCTAGACCTACAGCACCTAGACTCAGCTAGATATTCCACTCGCTCTTCGTACAGCAGCAGTACACGCCCTACCGAACGGTCGGCAGCCCGGTAGCGCGCACATACAAATCGGTGCCCCCGACAACAGTCTACATTGTAGACTAATTGATTGCTTTCGGCGGTCCTGACATGTTTTTCTAGCTGCATTCTTCTCCTCCCCTACACACCATGAGTCCCCTGTGCGCGCAGGAACATACTCCACAGAACATACGAGCAGGCGGGCTCTGCAAGCCTGCACAGCTCGGGCTTCAGTGTGCAAGCTAGCAGAGCTGAGCTAGCCGAGTACCACCTCCAAACCGTCAAGAACCACGTGCGCGCGCGCCCAAAAAGCACGGCATGCTTTCCGAACCTTCCGGAAACCCTACCCCCGAACCCCCTAAAGATCCTTTCGCACGATTGGTAATCCGAACTCGCAAGGGTCTGAGATGAAGTCGGGATCCAACTTCGTCTTAGGAGGCACACAGAGTAGATAATTATAAGGGGGGGGTATGGGTACAAGAAGGAATACATACCTGCTGACCATCCCACATCCTATGAACAATAGGATGTACCCTATTCATTCTAGCAGCCACACTCCTCAACAATCTACTGCACGAATTCTCTCAGTCTTGGTATGTATGCATCATATACGAATTTGGTGTTCCAGAATTTGGAATTCCATGAATTATTCCATGGGCGTTCATGAAACATTTCATGGATGTCCATGGGCTTTCATGAAACTTTTCATGAACGTTCATGGATGTTCATGAAACTATTCATGAACGTTCATGGATGTTCATGAAATGTTTCATGAACGTCCATGGTCTTTCATGAAATGTTCCATGGACGTTCATGGATGTTCATGAAATATTTCATGAAAGACCATGGACGTCCATGAAACATTCCATGGACGTTCATGGGTTATCATGACATTTTTTTTCATAGACGTTCATGGGCGTTCATGAAACATGTCATGAACGTTCATGGATGTTCATGAAATATTTCATCTCGGTGATATCCCAAGGCACACGTACATGTCCACACCGACCTTGTACCCGGTTTTAATGCTAGTGGTCACAACAATCACCGCGTGGCGTCAGTGTTTACCTTCCCACGCCACCGCAGACATTCATTTCTAATTTTACGATAATGCACGACAAAGACTGTAGTATGGAGATCGTGAACACAGGTCTATCACTCATTCTCAACGTCTGAAGGTTGTGATACCAACACCGGCGATACTGCGGAGTGATGATTTGTGATTACTGTTCACTTCTCAATGGCAAAGACAACATGAACAACCAGCAGCAGTACCCGCAGGGAGGGCCGCCCCCTCCGCCGCCTAGGGGACCGCCTCCTCAGCAACCTCAACAGTAGGGAGGGCCACCCCTTCCAATGCCGGGAGGGCCGCCCCCTCCGCCGCCTGGAGGACCGCCTCCTCAGCAACTCCACCAGCAGGGAGGGCCGCCCCTTCCACTGTCGGGAGGGCCGCCCCCTCCGCCGCCTGGAGCACCGCCTCCTCAGCAACTTCAACAGCCGGGAGGACAGCTTCCTCTACCGCCTGGAGGACCGCCTCCTCAGCAACCTCAACAGCAGGGAGGACCACCTCCTCCGCCGCCTGGAGGACCGCCTCCTCAGCAATCTCAACAACAGGGAGGACCGCCCCCTCCGCCGTCTGGACGACCGCCTCCCCAGCCACCTGGGGGACTACTGCCTCAACAACCCCAACAGCAGGGAGGACCGCCTCCTTTGCCTCAGGGAGGACCGCCTCTTCCAATGGGAGGACCTCCGTCTTCGCAACCCCAACAGCAAGGAGGACAGTTTCCTCAGAATTATGGAGGACAACCACCTCAACATCTTCATCAGCCAGGAGAGCCACTTCTGCCGACACCTCCGCAACCGGGAGGACCATCCCCTCATCAGGGCGGATTTCTAGCACACTACCCACAGGCGGGAGGACCTCTTCAGCACCAAGGAGGATTCCACCATTCATGAGGCGTTCCTCATCAGCTCGCACCGTCCCACGGACAGTTTTCGTCCCATGCGAACGTTGACGGAGGACGTTCTCACATGCCCTTAGCGGGGGGGGGTTCCCGTCGCAGGGAAGGTTTCATCAACAACCTCAGCCATTCCCTAACCACGGAGGGGGGGGACAGCCGCATTCTGGGGGTCCAGGTCATGGCTTCTCGCCTCTGCAACATGGAGGAGGGGGAGGTGTGGGGTCTGCGCCTCACGGATACGGATACAACGGAGGATATTATGGACCGTCACCCCTCTCCTCGGTGTATGCGGTCAACATGGCGGACCCTAAACAGTGTCGCCAAGTGTAGGAAGGTATCAAGAAACGCATCGTCCAAGGTACGGGACAAGGAGGTTTTGAAGGACCCCCGTTGCAGATCAACACGACGGACACACCCATTTTGAAGGCTCGACATGATCCACTGGTCTTCCAAGACGTCGTCACAAAGGCGTACGCCATGGAGACGGGTGCGGTAGCGACGTTTCCGCCAGATCGCATGGCTACTCATCCAGCGTCGGGACATCAGGTGGTTCATCCCGAGCCCGATGATTTCACTCCGGCGCGAGTGGAAATTCGCCTTGGGTTGCTGCCACAGGAAATGGCAGTCGTCACAGAGTACCATGCATCGAGGGGCCAAGAAATGCTAGTCCACGATGTGAGGGGTGGAAACGGTATGTACCTCAACATGAGGTGGCGGCACTGGATCTCCTGAGGCTCATGACAGAAGAAGAAGCACGGAAACATGCTACGCGTCGCACAGCCATCGCAGCATTCAGCGGTATAGTGGTGGCACTCAAGGAGTCGTGGTTGACGGCGCAAGTGTGAATGGTGAAGTATTTCCGAGCCTCAAACCTTGACCGGGAGGCCCCGTACGCCACAGAAGAAGGATACTTCTGGCATCTACTCTCTATGCGTGATCTTCAGATCTTGGAGGAGAAAGCGTTGCAGTTGTGCTTTCCTCAATGGGGAGACAGGATGCCACGCGAGGCTCAATTGCTCACGATCAGAGAACGCTACCGACAGCAGCTCGACAACATGCCAACCATCCGACATGAGCTGGGCTCGCCTTACATGGCCAGGAGAGGAGCACTCACCAAGGAGGTATTCACAAAGTTCTCCAACACCTTAGCCCACGATGCCGGACGTTACAAAACACCGACGTCTCCGGCATCGGCTAAGATGAATGCATTGGCATCCAACAAACTGCCTTTGCAAACCCGTCAATACCCGGAGACATGGAAGGTCGAGGCTAATCAGTCGGCCTTGTGCATGGTGGAGGAACCTACGGCTAAGGGTAATCTCCATGACCAGGAGCACATCACGGCCATGGAAGACCACTCGGCCGGATCGAGGCAACGAGGCAACCAGGGAGGCAAAAAAAAGAGAGGGAGACGGACGGGAGACCCCACAGACATTCAAACGTCACAAGGACCACACTGATCACGCGACATCTCAACGTCAACAGTTCTGCACTTTCTCCCCGGGAGTGACCTCAGACAAGGGGAAACAGAAAGAACGCAGGACCTTCCAGAGGAACCTCCCGGAGGATGCACCGAAGCCAGAGGACTCCACAGAGAACATTAAGAGGTATATCATGCGCTCAAAGACTTGCTTCTTCCACGCCCGAGGAGCATCTTGTGCTCACATTGTCACGGTAGCATGAACGGGCGCTAAATACTGAGAATCATTCCATTTCACGATGGTTTGAGGAGGGCTAGGGTATACCCCAGGGTGTACCTGAATCATTGGCGGAGCCCCTCTAGAGCTCCGCCTCAACACGTTATTTGGGTGATCGCTCACTGTTAACACGGCCAATCTCGGAAGAGGAACTTTGACCCACATCGCTAAGCAGCAACCAGTTGTGAGTCAATGCAGGAGGTAGACCCCCCTTGCTAGTCCCTCCTTGATTAGTCCCCCCTTGTTAGTCTCCCCCTTGACTGAAATGGTAAGAGTCCATGAACCTGACCATGAAATGGAAGAAACTAATTGAACCCTAGCAAGTGCTTGTTACGCTAACACATGAGTGAGCTACCTTAAGCAATAGCGTTATAACCACTGTGACATGGTGGAGGAGTAGGGATCATGGCTGAACAATTCTTTTGCAACTACAGTCATGAAAAAGTACCCTTTGGAATCTACCCCTACAAGGAGAGGGTCTCAGCGAAAGTACATCTCGCTATGATCACTTTGGAACAACTCTCCCGCGAGGACGAGGA